CCAGCTCACAAACGTTCCTGTTATTACCCAGAACATCCTGGCTGCCTGACAAAGCCCCGCATCCATGCAACGCTCACCTCACTACACGGCTCATCACATGCTTACATTAAGGAATCAAAGAACAGACTTTGGCGATGGCTTTGGGGTGGGCGGGACATCACTGACCCGAGAGGAACCTTCCATACAGCAAGGGAAGTGTCTTCACTGTGAATGGGTTCAACTGTCAGACATGTACATCTGGTGTATTTGTGTTGGTATATGTGCACTTACTACATCTACATGCAAATATGTGGCTATAAATGTATAAAATTTATATTGTGTAATTTTATGGTATTTATAGAGGAGATACAGTCTATTAAATTTTACTATTTCAGCTGTGTTTTGCTGGTCCTTGTCACATCCCTAATGCCTGCACACACACCCGCATCCCAATCAGCATTTCGGCTGCTCTCACTGTCGCGGAGTCTCTGTTTGGGGGGGCGATCCAGCCTCCGGCTTGGTTAAAATACCGATCCTGTCGTGGCGTCGGCTGCAGTGAGCCTATGCCAGGCCGCAGGAGATCACTGCGATTGCAACCCTCTCTCTTTCTCTCTCTCTCTCTGGCTTGGGGGTAAAACAGCAGCACTGGGAGCGTGTGGATCTGTCACATGAGTGGGCAGTGGCGGGGAGGAGCGTGATGTGCAGAGAGCATAGCGCAGCGAGGCCACAAAAGGGCCTCCTACACAGGCCATTACGTTGCAGCAGTAACAGAAAGACAAAAATTATAATAAAAGCTGTATAGTTGGAAATTCTGAACTATAAAAGAAAAACACTCTCAAGCCGCTTTTAGTATTCATGTTTTGGTTTTAGTATTCATACATATAAATCAAGTAGGTGTTTGCTATTATACATTTGATATGTTTTCATGCTTGGTGTTAAATAATGTTACATCTTATGAATAACTAGGTATAGAGGCATCTTTTATACAAAATACATGACTCCAGACAGAAAATAATAAATAATAAATGCACAATTTCATAATCTCAGGATTATGAACATTACACAAATAATCCCATGACACTAGTCCCTCCTCTCTTCACCCATCCATGTTCTTAACACCTACCCCAGAGAGCCCAGGGCAGGGACATTGCCCGCATGGAACGCCAGGCCATTGCAGGGCACACATATCCGGCAGCGTAGAAAAGCCAGCATGTCTTTGGACTGCAGGAAGGAGCTGAGAGGCTCTCACAACGTGGGCAGAGCATCTAGGCTTCACCCACGCAGAGGTACCCACTGTGCATCCTTACCGCGGTTACCACCACACTCAGCTTTTAACATAGATGCAGAAGTATAGATATGGTAAACAGTATAGATTGAGTCTCAGAAATGTGCAGAAATCGCTCATTTGTGAGACCACTAGCCTGATGAGCTAATGGTTATTGGTTCAGGTCTAGGTCAGGGCAGACGCACTAATCCTGTGAGTTATGAATGGACATAGGACCACACTCGTAGTGTGAATATTGCCTAGTGTTTTGCACAGATTTCTTTATTTACACGTTTATTTGCACCATTGACTAATGGGTGAGCAGTGATTTGTGCGGGAGTCAGAGCTGCCAAGCAGGGGGGGGGGGGTACAGCTTGCCTGGCAGCCTGCCCTGACACAGACCTAATTGCTAATTGCTGCTATTTGAAAAAGTTTTCTGTGGTGTCATGTGACAAGCGAAGGGCTTTGCAAATCACAGGGGGGGAGGGTACTTCCTCTTAAGTCTGCAAATCAGAGGACAAAAGGTTCAGCTAAGAGTCATTCTTGGACCCTAGCCGACCCCCCCCCTCCCCACACACACACACACACACACACACACACCTCAAATTTAGCTCCTTGATTACTGAATTTTGAGGCCCTGCCCAGACCCCATAGTACTTGCCAGAGGTTCCTCATTAACTTGTTCATCACAGTCTTTAGTACTTCAGTAATGCATTGTGACTGACGATGATGAAAAACAAAGTGAATACAAACTGTATCATAAGAAAAAAATGCATTTTTTATGTAATTGATGAAAAAGGACACAAGGTGTAGAGTAACATAAAGCAATTCTGTAATGCCAAAAGCCCTCTCTCTCTCTTTCTCTCCCTCTCTCTTTCTCTCTCTCTCTTCTTTCCTTTAATTTTTCTTCTTTCCACCATGTGATCAAACCTTCTGCATCATTCAGCTGTGGAAAAACATTAATGGTGCAGCAGATTGTATATTAAGATCCAGAATTAGCCTTGGATTCACGTAAAGCTAAACACGCGCATTTCCACAGAATAAGACACTAATTGCAATATGAAGGAGAATCAGAAGAAACAGTCCGAACTGATATGAACCAGTGGGATACGGTATTTTTTTACGACAACTGGGAATGATCATCATGGCATGAAGACCATGAGGTGAATGTCACCTTTATTTCAATATCAGGTGTTTGATGGGGCCGGCATACTGAAGAGTACCTCTCCTTTCCTTGTACCGATGCCAATACCTTCTGGAACATTAATTAAGAGCCCACATGCCATCAATGCTATAAATACCGACTGAATGATCATCCAGATACGTGGGTGAATCAGCATCAGAAGGGCAGAGTGTTCGGTCCAGAGATCTCACTGCTTGAGTGAGGTCCTGAGAAAGGTGAGGCCCGTGTCTCTCACTGTGACTTCAATCAGCCACTGCCGCATGAGGCCGGCATACTGAACAGCCCGGGCGCCGTCACACGGGGATTCCTGGGATGAGAGGCCTGCATCAGGGCTGATTAAACTGCATTTAAGCCAGCTGTCCTGCTTTTTAAAAGAAAGTCAGTTGTAATAACGATGAATGCCAAGATGATGAATTCCAAGGTCATGTCACAGTCAGATTAAAATCTGAATATAGTCGGAGAAATTTGCCATAATTTACTTTACTTTTTGCAGTGTTAAGAAAAGATTGCAAGGATAATCTTACCTTTAGAAAACTGTATAGTAGTAATACAGTAGAACAAGCCTGCAGCAAAGTCTGTGTCTTAATAAATCCTATGCAAAATGTAATGGATCCTCTTGTAAGGTAAGCCCTGTTAGCAGATTATCTGTGATCTACTCTATTGCTGACATGCACAGAGATGCTTATGAAATGGTTGGAGGAGACCATCACATGCACAAATATACCCCCAAAGAAACTATGAAGGATCAGAGAAATGCAACCTTTACACTGCTGCTGTATGAATGTCTGTTTTCAGATGTCTGAACAACGAGGCAAAAGAGTGAACGATTTGGTGCAGCGTGACTACACTCTCTGAAGTACCTACACCTGTGACAGTGATGACCCTCAGTGTTCCCCTTGGGCTCAGGATCCCCTTCAGTGCCTCCTCAACCTTGTCCTGTGAAACAAATCATTCATTCTTATGGAAAATGATTTCACACCAAATACTGGAAAGGGTGCTGAGACTGGGGAGCACCACGCTTGTCCAGACGGCCTGGATGATAGGCCATCACCTACATCAGCATCAAGCCTGCCTTGTGGTTTGTAACAATCGCATAACATACCAAATGTATACACCAAGCCACTTAAAGGCCATTACCCAGCAACCTCTATGACATTAGAAAATCACTGGGAATCTTTGTCCAGCAGGGACCAGCAGAGAAAGGGCATACCAAGCACTGTCTATATTTTTGGCACCTGAAAACTATTTAAACCTGATCGATAGCATAGAGATACACACAAAAGAGCCAAAACATAATGACCACGCCCATATAAAGTGAATAGCATCATATATCATATTAAAAATGGCACATGAAAAGGTCTGGGATATACAGACACTCCCCGAATTACGATATTTTGACTTGTTTTTCACGTTCAGTACATTATTCAATAAATTACATGAGATATTCAACACTTTATTATAAAATCGGTTTTGTGTTAATATCTTTGTGCAACTGTAGGCTAATGCAAGTGTTCTAAGCATGTTTAAGGCAGGCTAGGCTAGGCTATTATGTTTGTTAGGTTAGGTGTACTTTATTAAAATGCATATTCGCCTTATGATGAGCTTTATTGGAAAGTAACCCCTCCTAACCTGGGGAGAGGCTGTATTATGGTGCTTTTCCATTGGCACACTGGAACTGAGCCTTATAACCGTCAAGGGGGTCTAGTTACAGTGCGGATCCAGCCTGCTTCATTTTCCACTGCAGAAGGGTCAGTTATTTACAAGGACACTTACTTACTGTTCACACACTGTACATCATGATTTTCTATGTGCCGATTTATTAATTTTCTCGCACATCTATGAGAATCACCACCAGGGCCGCCGAGAGAAAATCCGGGCCCCTGTACGAAGAAGGTGTGTGGGCCCTTATACAAAATTCTACACACATGTAAGTGTGTATATTATTATTTATTTATAACAATTGTAGATTACAGTGATACATTTAGATAAGTATGTATGGGTATTGTCACGATCCGCTCCAAACGATCCTCATGTGTGCCATGCCCCCTCATTTCCTCATGTTACTTCCTGATTGTTCCCACCTATGTCTAGTTAATTCCAACCTGTCCTGTGTATTTAGTCCGCGTCTAAGTTCCATCTAGTCAGATCTGTCATTGTCGTCTAATGCCTGTGAGTACCCGTTCTGTCTGTTCTTCCGTGAATAAACCCCGTTCTTCAGTTAACCTGGCTGCTCTCGCCTCCACTGCCTGCTCGCCGATCGCCGATCATGGCAGGTATAAATGTAATAATAACATAATATATTTATAATGGAAAAAGATGTTTATAATAGGACTTATTGTCTGTTGAACAAAGGTGCTTTCCTGGCCTTTTTTCTTGCGAAACTCTGAATTACATCATCAAAATTAATCTGTTTTGCTAGATCAGACTCAATACTGAGTCTTGCCATATCCACTAGTCGCGCTTGTGACACAATGGATCTTAGAAATGTTTTTA